AAAACTTCCTTAAACAATGAAATTGTTTAGAATCTGGAATGCATTGCTTGAGAATGCAGTGGGCACTAATTTAATTGCGAGTTTCTAAAGTGAATTGGATAATTATCTGAAGAATCATTGACTTGAAGTAAATTGCTCTGACAGAGAACCAGTACAGGCATGCTGTGCTGATTAATCTGAAAGGTCTCCTTGTGTGCAATAACCAACCTATGATTTATGAGAGTTCCTGAGAAAGCTGAAAATATTAAAAATTCATTGGTTCTTTACTTGACGAATGGAATGTCTGGTGTAAATAAAAAACAGTGATGGTTGTAAAACCGGTTAGATAATCCATACTCGTTTACTCTGTGCTAGTTTTACTTTGTGCGTTTCCTCAGTTTCACTTGCTTTGTATCCAAGCAACTTCTTATTGTTTATTAAGATTGTGCATATAACATTTTGAGTTATTTCAACCAATTAAAACGTTCTGCAGCTAAATGTATTCTTTCATATGGCAGCGATCATAATCCATAGGCCCAGGCTACTGCCATTGGCCATGGGGTCAGTTCCGACTTTGGTAGATGGTGGGAATTTGAATTCAATTATTAAATCTGGAATAGAGAATGAGACTCAGCAGTGGCAACTATTAAACTATCACCAATTCTTGTAAAAACCCATCTAATGCCATTAAAGGAAGGAAGTCTGCTGTCAATACCAAATCTGGCTAATAGACCCACAGCAGTCTTAACTGCCCTCTCTGGTCAATCCATTGAAGTGAATTATTCAGTTTCAAGAGTAATTAGACATGCAGAACAAATATTAGCCTTGCCAGCAATGCCCATATCCCATTTTAGAAAGAGGTAAAGCATAAAAAAAAATGCACTTTCTGTTTCCAAACACCTAACTAGTTCCTAATCACCTTCTATATTGAACTCAGTGAAGCATTTATTAACATGATGTGGAGGTGCTGGTGTTGGACTGGAGTGGACAAGGTCAGAAATTACACAACAGCAGGTTATAGGCCAATGGGTTAATTTAAAACACAAGCTTTCAGAGCCTCGCTCCTTCTTCAGGTGTTAGTGAGAGAGGTAGTATCAGACACTGAATTTATAAGTAAAAGATCAAAGGGTCACACCACTGATGAGGATGTACTAAACAAACCTAAGATGCTGTTAAATCTTTAATCAGTTAGAAAGTTTTAATTGATTAATATGTATGTGTAAATCACTGAATTCCTTTCAAGTCACTGTCCTGAGAGAACTAAAGGTTTTAAGGTTTTATCAATGTAAAGAAGAGGTGACATTTTAGGTCAGACAATGCATGTTAGGTGTGAGGCCTTGTTTAGAATCTGTTTGTGTTTTGGTTTGGAGTCAGACTGGTTCTATTTCTAAAGTAGGAATTTATAAAACGCCACACTGACTGACTGCCTATAAATTTGTGCTTTTTGAACAAAACAGAATGTATCTGCAAATACAAATTCACCGCATGGATATGTGTGTGTGTGGGTGTGAGTGTGTGTGTGGGTATATGTGTGGGATAGAGAGAGAGTGCATATATCTGTGTATGTGTGTAGGAGAGAGAGAATGAGTGTGTGTGTGTGAGTGAGGGGACAATAGAGAGGGAGTGAGTGAATGTGTGTGTGGGAGTGAGGGGGGAGAGAGAGAGAGAGTGAGTGTGTCTGTGTGTTTGAGGGGGAGAGAGATTGAGTGTGTGCATATTTGTGAGGGGGTGAGAGTGTGTATGTGTGTGTGTATGTTTGTGTGAGTGAGTGTGTGTGTGTGAGAGTATATAGTGTGGTGGGGTCACATGTAATGCGTCACAAACCCAAGACCCCCGTTGAGGCCGTCCTCATGGGTACAGAACTAGGCTATCAGCCTCTGCTCAGCGACTGTGCGTTGTTGTGTATCCCAAAGTCTGCCTTGGAGGATGTTTACCCAAAGATCCGAGGCTGAAGTGTTCCCCCACTGGGAGGGAACATCCCTGTCTGACGATTGTTGCTCGGTGTCTATTCATACATTGTCATAGCGTCTGCATGGTTTTGCCAATTCACCATGCCCCAGGGCATCCTTGCAGTGTGAGATAGACAGCGTTGGCCCAGTCACATGAGTATCTGCCATGCACGTGGTGGGTGGTGTTCCCATGTGTGATGGTAGTGTCGATGTTGAAGATCTGACATGTCGAAGATCTGACATGTCTTGCAGAGGTTGCCATGACAGGGTTGTATAGTGTTGTGGTTGATGTTGTCCTGAAGGCTGGTAGTTTGCTGCAAACAATGGTCTGTTTAAGGTTTGGCGGTTGTTTGAAGGCAAGAAGTGAAGGTGTGGGGAAGATCTTGGTGAGATGCTCATCTTCATCGATAGGTTGCGAAGAACATGGTGTAGTTTTCCGCTCCCGGGAAGTACTGGGCAACAAGGGTACTCTATCAGACGTATCCCGTGTCTGTCTTCGAAGCACGTCATTATGGTTTTTCGCTGTGGTATGTTGGAACTGGCAATCGATGAGTTGAACATCGTATCCTGTTCCTATGAGGGCGTCCTTCAAAACCTTCAGGTGTCCATCTCGTTCTTCCTCATTCGGACAGATCCTGTGTGTGCATAGGGCTTGACCGTAGGTGATGGCTGTTTTACTATGTTTAGGGTGGAAGTTAGAGAAATGCAGCATCGTGAGGTTATCCATAGGCTTGCGGTAGAGTGAGGTACTGAGGTGTCTGTCCCATATGGAGATGCGTGTGTCTGAGAATGAGACTGATTCTAAAGAGTAGTCAATGGTAAGCCTGATAGTGGGATGAAACTTGTTGATATAACTACGTAGTTGTTTCAGTGATTCCTTGTCATGAGTCCAAAGGAAGAAAATGTCATCAATGAATCTGATGTATAGCATTGGTCGGAGATTCTGTGCAGCAAAGAAGTCGTGTTCAAACCTGTGCATGAAACTGTTGCCATATTGAGCAGCAAATCTCATCCCCATGGCTGTTCCATGTGTCTGATTGAAAAACCGGTTGTCGAAGGTGAAGACGTTGTGGTCAAGGATGAAGTGGAAGAGTTGTAGGATGAGTCTGGAAATTGGCAGTTGGTGGTTATTGAGTACTGAGGCTCTTGCAGCGACGCCTTCATCGTGGGTGATGCTGGTGTAGAGTGCCGAAACATCCATTGTGAGGAGGAACATTCCTGGTTAGACTGGCCCATGGGTGCTGAGTTTCTGTAAGAAATCTGTAGTGCTGCGACAGAAGCTGGGGGTTCCCTGTACAGTGGGTTTCAAGATGGCCTCGACATAGCCAGAGAGATTCTCACACAGGGTCCCATTGCCTGATACTTTGGGACGTCCAGGTGTGTTGGCTTTGTGTATCTTCAGAAGGCAGTAGAAGTCCCTTATACGAGAAGTACGCAGGATGAGAGTGCGTAGGGTACTCTGACGGACTGGATCAAAAGTCTTGATCAGTCTGTTGAGTTGACAGGTGTGTTCTTTGGTCGGATCAGCAGGTAACTGTCTGTAGTGTTCCTGGTTGTTCAGTTGTCGGTACGCTTTCTTGCAGTAGTCCATTCTATTCTGTATGACGATGGCTCCTCCTTTGTCTGCTGGTTTGATGACAATGTTGTGATTGGTCTTGAGAGCCTGGATGGTGTTGCGTTGTGCCTGGGCGGCGTTTTGCGCTACCTTGTGATTGCGGCTGATGAATCTGACATTCATGTATTCCCTGATGCCTTGAGCAGACCTGTCAAGCCCAGGGCAATGGCTGTCCGGAGGGGTCCAATTCGACCCTTTCTTTGTCCACTCCCCATTGGATCTCTCTGTGGACCGATCTAGTTCATTGGTTTTCTCTTTGGGCTCGCGTCTGACATCTTGGAAGAATTTCCAGAGTCACATTCGTCTGATTAATTCCTCTGTGTTGGATGTGAGACCAGTGGGGCCCATTTTGGTGGTGGGGCAGAAATTGAGTCCTTGGCGGAGAACTTTGATCTCATCCGTTTGAAGCATGTGGTCAGATAAGTTGACGATCGATTTTCTTGTGGTACCCATGAGGATGGCCTCAACCGGGATCTTGGGTTCATGTTGCACTACACGTGACCCTACCCACTATACACTGTCTCGCGCGCACACACACACACAAACACGCACACACTCTCACACAGATCCTCCCTCATACACACACTGTCTCTCCAGCACATACACACACACTTTCTCTCTCCCCCCCACTCTCAAACACACACACACGCACTCACTTTGTCTCTCTCCCCCTCACACACACTTACTCTCTCTGTCTCCCACCTCACTCTCTCTCACACACATACACATATACTCACTCACTCTTTCTCTATCCCCACCTTATTCAATGCACACACACGTGCGTGCGCGCACGCGCTTTCTTTCTCCCTAACACACACGCGTGCGCACTCACACACTCACACACACATGCACACACACACACACGTGAATCTGTGGAGTGAATTTGTGTTTATAGATACATTCTATTTTGTTTAAAAAGCACACAATTTACGGACAGTCAGTCAATGTGGTGTTTTATAAATTCCTACTTTAGAAATAAAATCAATCTGACTCCAAACCAAAACACAAACGGATTCTAAACAAGGCCTCACACCTAACATACATTGTCTGACCTAAGATGTCACCTCTTCTTTACACTAATAAAGCCTTTAGTTCTTTCAGGGCCGAAACGTCAGCCTTCCTGCTCCTCTGATGCTGCTTGGCCTGCTGTGTTCATCTAGCTCTACACCTTGTTATAACAGCATCTTATGTTTGTTTAATACATCCTCATGAGTGGTGTGACCCTTTGATCTTTTACTTATAAATTCTGTATGATACCACCTCCCTCACTAATACCTGAAGAAGGAGCAAAGCTCCGAAAGCTTGTGTTTTCAAATAAGTCTGTTGGACTATAACCTGTTGTCGTGTGATTTCTGACATTTGTTAACAGTTATTGGTTTCTCACTGATGGTTTATATCTGTTCATTTCTATCAGATTTTAATGCAGACTGTTATATGTATTTCTCCTCAATGCACAGGAGTTATGAGGATGTCAATTGGGACTGTAAGTTGGGGCCCAAAATCAAACCAGAAGATGCGACACAGGACAAAATAGCTGACCCCCTATCACGACATGCTACATTGAAACGATATGATCCAAGCCCTCATATGTGGCAGGTAAGTAATAACATTTTCTCTTCTTTTGATGTGTTAAGGAACGCATGCCCCAAAACATTACAGATAATGATGCCCCTCTGGCTTCATCCTCCCATCCATTTTTCCCAATCAATCACTCACACTGACACCCCCTTACTCACACTCGCTTATACTGACGGCCGCCCTCACTCACTGACCCCCCCCATCACACTGACCCCCTCACTCTCACTGACACCCCACTCCTCACTCAGACAGATCCTCAAAACCCACACTGGCCCCCCCATCACTCACACTGACTCACTCACACTAACCCCCCCATCACTCACAGCTCCCTCCCCATTACTCAAACTGAACCCCCATCACTCACACTGACCCTCCCATCACTCACACTGACCCTCCTATCACTCAGACTGACCCAC